AACTTGTGAAAATATGACGATCTTGTCCCTCGGGCAAACAAGGTAAGATGCGTCAATTTTTGAATATCACCTTGTCGATATCCTAGTGGTCATGGTTGCTTTGACACCACGAAAAAGCTAAAGTACGTTAGCGCCTCAAACGCGGCAAATGCTATCCAACAATGACGGGAACGTGTACGCTGTTCCCCTCGAGCCGCAACGGATACTCTGAGAGCGGTCTCCTGCTTCTATTATTCGGAACGCCAATCCAAAATCCAACAATAGGGAATGGAAGACGTTGCCAGATGTACCAGTCTGGATGCGTGAAAGAACAGAACTAAGCTTGTCTGAGAGCTGACTACCGCCGGGAATCTTCTGATGAACGCTCTGGCTCGTCAGGTCTCTTCGCTCTGAGGCTGACATGAGCCAAAAAACGAGGGGATCACTGATAGTAAAGTAGTGGTGGCAAAACAACATGTACCTACGAGCAAACAGAGTTGAAAAAAAAATGAAGGACAGAGAGAGAGAGGAGAGGAGGTAGAGAGAGAGAGTGAGAGAGCTATGAGCTGAGAGAGAGAGAGAGGGGAAAGGTCGGAAAGCCGAAACCAGCATTCACCAACCGAAAAGATGATACTCGCTAGAGCCGTCCACGAATGGTATCACTAAGGAAAACTCGACTCGATCGAATTCTCGAGCACCGGCCTCTGGACTAGAACTGCAAAATCCGCAATGGTAATGATGAAACACATTCTGGCAGTTTCTGCAGGACTCGAGTGCGAAAACTAGTTATTTTGTCTCTACAGCGACTTTTCTTTAGTAAACAGCGCATGCTATAAAATCAGGGGATGATAATGGGGAATTCGAGTTGTGTTACTAAAAGGTTGGTCTCCTGCACCTAGCCGCTATAGTGTTTTGAAGTTCCGGGTCGCTTGAAGGTCCGGTGAAAAGGGTAAGTCTGAAAGTCGAAAACAAGCATTGATCTGTGGTAGAAAGTGAATTAGCCTCTTAGAATTGAAATACCATGAAGTAATGGGGAACAAAAGCTGCTGGCTAATAAAATCTTAATAAACTTGGGACTCGCTTTAGATTACAGGTCAGGGTCCACAGACAGAATTTTATTTATAAGCCGAAACGGCTAAAACGAGTCTGTCCTTTTAATAAGGTGACAGCAACTTTTGGTTGATCCCACATATTTGTGGCATTTTTCAGAGTTTTAGAAGGAATTTAGAGCATTTTTGTTGCCAACTGAGAATTAGATCTCTTTTTTGCGAAACCAAAAGCCCCTGAAAAGACTCTTTTAGCCTCAGAGAGACGCTAGTCTTTTTAGCCTCAACTTTTGTTAAGATCATAGAATTGTCACTGGTTATTTATCTGATGAACCCTTGTACACACACTTCGAAAAACGACTCTGGTGGCGTTTTGTAACGGTACCTAAAACCCTTTAACGATGACCGGGCCAATCGGCAAAAACGATGTTGCGGGCGGGTCGAACCGGAGCCAAGTCTTCCCAGTAAAGCGTAAGCTAACCACTAGGGCCAAGGGGAGACTGGAGGCCTGTCCTCGGGGACCTAGACCCGCCATGCTGCTGACCCGGGGAAAGGGGGGCCGAGAAAGGAGGGTGGCACCCCGTATGGCGAAGGGTTTCTAAAGTTATAAAACTCAAAGGGGAAGGATTCATTCGATGCAATTTTTCTTTGACTCACTCCAGCAAGGTATGAATGAGATATTGGAGTAAAATTTCAGCCCAAACGGACATCAATAACACTTGTTTTTGGCCGGTAATTTAGCTTTAAACTTAACCAAAATTAACATATAAATTTTTTAAAAACCTATTTTGAAAAACGCTCTTCCTCACCTCTCATTTACAATCAAGTCAATTGATATGGAAATTTCTGCGCCAGAACGACTATGGGAAGGCACTTTTGAACGACTCGCCAAAGGTTTTGCGGGCATACATACATACAAAACAACGCAGACCCCTCGAAACGCAATTTAAATCGGCTGTTAAAATTCGAAATTCTAACTTTTTTCAATTTTTAAAATTTTATAGTATGCAAAAGTGTCGCCGGTTCCGATGGTGTATTCAGTTTCGGGCGATCCGATGCATGGTTCTTTTAAACCGGGAAAAGGACCCCAAAAAGAGTCGTATGGGGGCACTTCAAACCAGTGGCCAGCTGGGGCATACGCCCGCTACCCCGATTTCCATTTTCTTTAATTACTAAAAAGGTTTGTTAAAATTATTTTGTTACTAAAAGATTCCAGTTCGAGATAATACAAAAACTATTTTTTAATTTACAAAACCTAGGACCGTGGGAAAACATATGTCGCTCTTGAAGTCCAGCGTAATGTCCCAATTTTCTGATCAGTTACAAGATGAAGCGTGAATAGAAGGTGTGTCGATACCTTAAACTGCCGGAAGTGGAAAATGGCAACAGGAGATCGTCATATTTCAAAGCGTTTGGAACGTAAACATCACTTATTCTGTGCAGAGGCTTGAGGAGAGAGCGGGGAGCGAGAGAGAGAGAGAGAGAGAGAGAGAGAGAGAGAGAGAGCGAGAAGGAGAGTGAGGGGAGAGAAGGAGAGAGATGGCATCTCAGCGAAAAAGAAGTCCTAAAAGCCAACCAGGAAGATCAGAAGCAGATCACCAAGAACAAGCCGTCCATTGTTTCCCGGAACACCCAACCTGAACCTGGACGCCCCCTAAAACCTAAAAAAGGAAACTAGAGTGTTTCTCGAGCCTCGAGTTTCTCGAGAAATGCTTGACGGAACCTTTTGTGTGGATTTGTGGTGGCGAAAAACAAGGAAACGACTGGGTTATTAGCCCAGAAAAAAAAGAAAAGAACGGAACGCGCCAGACCTTGTCTCGAAACCCCCTGAAAACCAAGCTACTCCCGGATTCAGAATTTCTGAGGATCATGACGGGTTTTGGGGTGGGGGATGAATGGAAGGGAATACGGGATTAAACTCGTGACCAAAGTTTCACATGTTTGAGCTAATCAAGAAATGAGCACGAGCTTGAGATGTACATATGTGCACTTTACTACTACTAGTGTGAGGGATTCAGACGTTTTTGTGGGAATGGCACGTAGTGTGGCAACTAAAGTACCAACACGTTTGTGCGATTTTTAACTAATCAATTGTTCAAAAAAATGAAAAAATGAAAGATGGTCAACTGGAAAATAATTCATATAAAATTCATCACCGTCATGGCTTGTGAATATAAAAAACCGGTTTTTCGTGATCGCGTAGGAATACTTACGAAAATCTAATTTTTTTTTGTGGAAAATACACCATGAAAATACGTTTTCCGACACGTTTCAAAAAATGCATCAATCAACCGCGCAGGAACACATTCTCACACTAAAGCCTTGCGATTTCTGGTCTAAAACACCCTTTGCAAGCCGAATTTTGCCAAATCAAGTTTCTACTCGGCAAACCCTTAGTTTTTCAAACCCGGTAAAACCCTAGGTCAGCCGCGACGAGAAATTTTCACGCACCGCTAAAAAATACAAAAACTTTTCCAAATCCTTTAAAAACGCAAACTTAATTATTTCGTTTTCTTCATAGGAATTCATTGCGACGTTGTATTTCCTAATGATCGAATCACGGCAAACATTTTATTTCCAAAAGAGGCTGCAACAACCCGGAAGGATTCAGGAAATTGCCGATGGGGATAACGATTAGCGCTGGAAGGGCATTCGTTCTGATGATCAATTCCTAAAATTTCGAAAATCATGGAATAGGGAATTTTGTTCCTGGAGTATAAGACGTCTAACCGGAAACGCCCTGCCAAAAAGGCCCTGTTGTTATTGGTCTTGTAACTAATTTTTTAGCGATGGTCCGACCATGTCTACAACACGATGTAATAAAACCTTCAACCCTAAAAATATTAGAATACTTGAATTTATTCCGGCGATACAATCCAGAAAACCAAAAATGCCCTCACAAAAATCTCCAGGAAGTCTTTAGTCTTAAAATAAGATTTTTAGTGATTTTCTGACCCTGGAACGAAATGTTTCCTCTATCCATGGCCTGCCGTGGCTTTTGTTCCGGGTGTGTGCCCCAAATTTATTCATGATGCCGATTCGGATGGGCTCCTGGAGACGTCAACGCCGGCAATCGTTGTAGATTTATTTAGGGGCTAGCATCAGGCGGGGGTCGCCCTTGGATTCGATCGGATAAAGGTGTTGCCACCCCCGATCCCAGTGGCGGTGAAAAACATCGTAATCGGATGGGAGTTGGGGACCGAAGGGTTCAGAATCTGACTAAATGTTGAAAAAAAATATTTTAAGCCAGAGAAGACGCCGCGATTTAGTCTTCGCCCCCATCATTAAACCCTTCAAACAAAGGAAAAATATCCAAACATCAAAGTCTAATTCGGTTTTATCATACTGTATGTACTAATATATCATTTTTGTTCGATAACGTTCAAAATCTTGCCAATTTCAGGGGTGAGGCAATGCAGAATCGATCTCAAAGATTGACTAAGTCTCGACTGCTCTATATTTAGGAGCGGCATGTAGTTTTCAGTTCGCCGGTGAAGCGGGTATACGTTTGGCTTCCACATTCCTTTAACTTCCCGGATTTACTCTTTAGGTAAACTAAGAATAAACTGCATTAATTTACAACAACGCAAAGATTAATCTCACACAATCAGACAGAAAAAATCTCCAAACCGACTTTAAATTCCAGATGCCTTTAAACCATATGGCTGGGTTTTTATCTCATTTTAGTTGCTATGTGCAGCCTGCATTCGTGCAGTACGTCTTTTAGGCAATGAGCCAGAAAGCTGAAGATCAACTTTCAGGCTCCTTTAGTCCGAAATTCTGGCTTTCTTCAGAACGGGTCTCCCACAGGTTGACTCCTACACTCCGCCCTAATCACCGTATCCCCTGAACCCAGGCGGCACTACGTTATGGGAAAGGGGAATGGCTTACGCCAGGATGGCCCCAATGTTTCTGATGTTTATAAATCGAATTTAGATACTTTATCGGAAATCGATAATTCTGTATTTTTTCAGGATGGAAACCACGCTTCGGCAGCGTAGGCCGAAGGAAGGAATCACAAAACTCGTCGAGGATTTGGACTTTTTCACAAAAGTCGTTGATAATGTTAAAGAGGAGAAGCGAGCAGGGAGCGGATTGTGTGAGTTTTGATGTAATAACGCATAATAAAATCCTATATTCGAGTGATACTTTATTAAAATCCAAATTTTCCAGTTTTTACAATACTTTTTTGTATAATTTTTAGAACACTAGGTTTTATTGGCTTTATAGGGCAATTAAAACCTATAAACAATTGAAAACAAGCTTACCAAATGCGTCAATACGTTAATAACTTTGTAAGCTATATTTTTTAACACCTAAGGCTTTCAGTATCGATCGTCTCCTTCCTCATAATCTTCGCCCTCGTCTTCGGCGAGCTCACCACACATTTCTTCGGCCGAAAAGAGTACAAATACAGTTTTGATGTGGATACGGATTATGATGAGTAAGCCCTACGCTTTAAAGTATGAAACCAATACCACGATTGAGAATCACGTAAAAATCATATTTTTAGAATGCCAAATCTCGAATTTGACATGGTCGTCGCTACTCCATGCAACTCCCTTCATATTACAAACACCGCAGAACCGGAAAATGATAAAGCTAGGGGCTTCTTCCCGGATCAGGCTCAAAATGTGATAAAGCAGGATCCGACTCGGTAGGTTTTTATGGAAGTTAATACATGACTTCCCAGAGAAAATTTGAAAACCCACACCTTCTAGATTTGATTTCACGGACGAGGAGCAAATGTACTGGACGATACTTAGACACGCTCACGATAATATGAATAAAAACGCGATGAGAGGGTTGGAAGAGGTAAGTGAGTGAGAGAGAGAGAGGGAGAGAGAAAGAGAGGGAGAGAGAGAGAGAGCGAGAGAGAGCGCGCGAGGGAACTATAGATAGAGAAAGAGAGAGAGACAGAGCGACAGAGAGAGAGAGAGAGAGAGAGAGAGAGAGCGAGAAAGAGAGAGAGAGAGAGAGCGAGGTCTTCGTAAAATCCCAATTTCAGCTCCAATATATCGATGATGACGTCGAGGACAAACTGGAAGAAATCGCCGACGAAAAACAAAAAGCGGAAGCGGAAGCTATCAAGGCTGATCGGCAGAAGCTGGATAAAGAACACGGGCATCCGCATCACGGGGGTGGTGGAGGGAACATTGTAGGTTGTTACGCTAAAAAGTATCGGTTATCGGGTTTGAAAGTACGAGGGTCAAGGAGGATAAAATTACACCATTGATCGGGGACGGCCCTAACCGGGATCAGTTACGGTATCTTAAGCAAAGACTTTGCTTCACTTCATGTAATCTAGAAAATAAAAACAAGGACATAGTTTATTTGTGATTTTTAGGTCTTCATGGTGGGCAACGGAATGGGCATGTTCCAGATTATGGCCAACAATGGGGCTGATGAAGGTATCATTAATTTGAACTCAAGAACGTCGGAAAGAATTTTTCAGACTAGAAACCCTCTTTCGATTATGGACTCGCCAAAAAAGAATATTTTAGGTTCGGCTTGTCGTGTCCACGGCAAATTCCCGGTCCGGAAAGGCAAGGAGCAAAAGCTGGTGATGACCATCGGAAGCGGGATCAACATTGGTGGAATGTTTGCGCACGTTGAGGGCATGGGAGGACGTGAGTTATATAGGACACTATTCATAAGTTTATATTAAATGTATAGCGGCTAAAAATATAAAAAATTCCATAAAATCCTGATTTTCAGAAGGCAACGTCTCGCACCGCATCGAACGGTTCGTCTTTGGCCGTCGCATCAACGGCCTGGTCAGCCCGCTTTCTGGAGGAGAGCAAATCTCTGAATCAGGTATGTTGCAGGGTAGCTTAAAGCTTATTACAAGTTTTTCAGGAAAAGACCTCTACCGCTATTTCATCAAAATCGTGCCGACCAAAATCTACAACGGTCTTTTTGGCGGTTTTACCATGGCTTATCAATATTCTGTGACGTTTTTGGTGAGTTCTGAACGTAAAAAAGTCATATTTTCAAAAATAATTACTATTAAAGGTTACACTTTGATTCATAGTAAAAAATTAAATTAAAAGTAAATATAAATTTCTAATGCCGTCCGCCCGTCCGTACACGAATTCAGCCAATTTGCATTCAAATTCAAATCAAATTCTGGGGAGGAGGGCCGGCGCTGAACTCCCGCGTAGCGGGGGGTCAGCGCTGGTTAAAAGTAAACCTTTACAGAAGAAAGAAACCAAAACCGACGAGCACGCGCATGGAGGGATACTTTTTGAATACGAGTTCACGGCTACTGTCATTGAGATTCGACAAATCATCCGGTAGGCTTTGCTGGCTTCTTCAAGAAAATTAAAAACCAGAAATAACTCCCTTAAGTCTAAAAAAAGCTTTAATCCTTCAAACAACCAAAAACTATACCACTTTCTGATCACCCGAGGTGCCGTTGGATTCTCTTATCAGCGTTCGCCGAAATTAGCAGTTTCTGGGAGGTCTGGCCTGGTGCGGTAGTTTCGATTTTTCGGCCTAGAACCACCTAAACTCGAAATAGGAATAGGCTGTTATTCATGCATTGCACACAATTCGTCCCGTTTTTAAAATTTAAATTTTATTTCGAGCATTTATGCTATTTCTCGCGATCCACAAGCCTAAAAATATCTCTATGGGTATTGTAATAATACCAGGCATTTTCTGCAGCTCCTATTAATTTGCAAACTCACGTTTTCGCAAAATCGATCAAAACCCTTTATGCCCTTTTCTGCCGCATCTTCTCGAACCCTCTTCCAACACCAAATCCAATCAGCCGCCTTCCCAATGCCCTACGGCAAAATGCAGTAAATATCCGCACCCGGTCGTTCTCGCTCTCTCTCCCTCTCTCTCTCTCTCTCGCTTTCTCCCTCTCTCTCCGTCTCTCTTACCTTTTTTGTTTTCTTGAACTCCTCGGGAACCCGGCCAATCCCTCACAGCTGACCCCCATCCCATTGGGCATTGATTTTTGATCTTGTTACTTCCGCTTCGGGTATGATCTGGCGATTCTAAGCATCGTATTGATTATTTTCATAATTTAGTCGTTTTATTCGTTTAGCAACGCACCTTAAGGTATCTTATTCTCTTGAAATCAATATATACGTCAGTAGCTGTGTTTTTGACGGGTTCTCGTCAACATGGAGCTTTTTTGCCCTTTAATTGCTTTCCAATGGCCTTCAATCAATAGGAAATGCACATTGAGCCGGCATTCTGTTTATTTTTCGGGTGATAAATGGGTAGTGTTTCTCTTTCTGTCTCTCTCCCTCTCTCTCTCGCTCTCTCTCATCCCAATCGACCTTGTTCCAATGCACAGGAAAGTGTAAATAATTCGTCATTTGCCCTAAGCGGAACAAAGAACGGATTTTGATAAATTTTCGCTTAGGTTCGCTCTCGATGTTTCCCGATATTTTTTGACATATTCCGCATGAAATTATAAATCAGCCCAACATTAAATGTATTATTTTTGCTGCAAACCGTAACCTTGAATGTTTTTCCAGCTCCTGGCTCCAACTCCTGCTCCGGATCTGCGCTGTCGTAGGCGGCGTCTACGCAACCAGCTCCTTGGTTCACAGCTTTGTCGCCTCAATTTTCTGCCTCACCTTCGGGGCCCCGGATCAGAAGCCGTTGATCAATAACAACGATCAGATTGATGACAAGACGAGGATGACCCTCTTGACGGATACGAATATTTTGGTTCATTAAACTTTCTAGGGTATAATAATGTCTTTGTCTTTATTGTCTTCTAAATTATGCGAATTTTGACTTTAAAGGGTTTGGCAAGGCAGAGTTATAGATTTTTTGTCACGATTTTCATGCACCGCGACACGCGACGCGCACGCGGCTGATCCGCTTTTATCCATTACGCAATGTAAACGCTGGAGACACGTCTAGTTCTTGCGCGTTGCGACCGTGCCAAAATCCATAACGAAAAAACCGACAATGACTTGCCGATCCCTTTAAAGTTAATCGTCGACTTTTCTAGTCAAATTTTTAGACCAGATTTTTTTTCTTAAAATGCCAACAGCAATAATTGCCTTTACCTCCCTAACGAATGCACTTAATTTAATGAAATTTGTTATTTTTTGTCGTCGTGGTTGCGTTTTTATGTTATTTTGGGCCCTCTCACTTATCCCTTATCCCTGATTATATCCACACTCCTCTCTACATATTGTGATATTTTTCCGAATTACGGTATATATTTTTGGGCTTTCACGGGTGTTGGATTATATTTATTGGTTTGTTATTTTTATGACTATCAAACGATCATGCCAAAAATAAACATTTATTGGGATTTGCAACGTGTTTTAAATTTGATAGCTGAAAATCAAGGTCCTACGGACTTGCTGATGCCTTGATTACTGTACTTTTTTTCTATGAATTAATTTAACCGCCAATTGATACTTTCAGGGCAAAATGGGCGGCGGGGACCAGAAGCAGTTCTCGTAAGTTTTTGGCAGAAAATGCCGGGTTGTTATCAAAATGTCGAAATTCCACAATGTCGAATTCGTACTGTCGAAAGTTGATGGTGTCGACATTACATAATGACGAATTTTTTGCATAAGCATTTGCGGGTTTTCCGGGAAATTTGCTTTTATAGATTTCGATATTCTAAAATTTCGACATTTTGAAATTTCTTGGAAAAACAGTTTTCGTTATGCGATGACTTATCTTAATTAAAGTTTGATTGTATTAAAGCTATAAATTATTCATTAATTTTTCAGCTACCTGCCAAAGGTGATGAACGGCGGGTTGGCGGGTATTGTCGGTGTAACATGCGTCTTCCCACTGGATCTCGTGAAGACTAGGCTTCAGAACCAAGTGATCGTCGATGGGAAGCCACAGTACACCGGAATGTGAGTAAAAAAGCTTAAAATAAGCGACAGCATCTGAATATCTTTAGCCTGGACTGCTTCAAGAAGACGTTCCGCGCCCAGGGCTTCTTCGGCATGTACAGCGGCTCCGGGGTCAACATCCTGTTGATCACCCCGAGAAGGCCATCAAGCTTGTCGCCAACGACTTCTTTAGGACCAAGCTGGCTTCACCTGGAGAAAAGTAAAGATTTTTCATCTTAAATGAACCTGAATTACGCTAGCTTTACGTACTACTGGTATTTTTGAAATTCAGCGCGTACTATGAAAATGATTGCCTCGTTTGTTCAGTAAAAATTCGCAGGATACCTTAAATATATCTATTTTCAGGCACCTCGCCGCCTGGAAGGGTATGGTAGCCGGTGGGTTGGCTGGATTCTTCCAAATCTACGTTACCACCCCGATGGAGTTGTTGAAGATTCAGATGCAACAGCAGGGAGCTTTGGCGGGTAAGATACAAGCGTTAACGATACCTCAAAACAGCTTCTAAATTTCGGGTAGGATATCCTGTCAAATATGAGTTAAGGTACGAAAAAGCAATCCGCTTGGCAACTGACGACACAACTATTCAAGGAACGAGGAATCGCAGGGCTGTATCGGGTAGGTTAAATGGTCTAAGTGTGAAAAACGCGACTTCTTCTATTGCCAATTTCTCGTATCGCCTTTCTCTAATCCTTTTTAACTTTCATTAACGATCAAGTGCCTATGCCACAATTTAACGAGGTTTCTAGGACGAAAATACCGATTAAAATACGAGGATCAAGGTTCTAAAGGTTTCACGGTCAATAGAAAACTATTTATTCACCTTTTTTGGGAATGGGCCGCTTATAGAATTTCCAGTCAAGGCTAGTATTCCACTTTTTCCAAGCATTTTCTGCTTTTTTGCTGTTAGAATATGCTGTTTGCTTTGTTTCCGTACCGCCAGCCGCACTTTCTGCTAAAAATAGCTTTGCTTTGCCCGGTCCTATCAATATGTCAATTTTTAGGGTATCACATCGACGATGGCCCGCGACGTCACCTTCTCCGTCATTTATTTCCCACTATTTGCACAGTTGGATTCGATGGCGCCAAGGAAGGCTGATGGCAGTGGTGATGCTGTCTTTTACGGATCTTTCCTCTCCGGATTGGCAGCTGGAGCGACCGCTTCATTTTCGGTGACACCGCTTGATGGTAAGCGAGAGCGCGAGAGAGAGAGAGAGAGAGAGAGAGAGAGAGGAATCGACAAATTTAACATCCTGATTTTAGTGATCAAGACCCGAATGCAGACGATTGGACTACAGGTCAAATATAACGGGATTGTCGATGCTTTCTTGTAAGTTTTAGGGTATTTAATTTTAAATTAAATTAGAGTTGAAAGCCCTTCATGACTTTTCAACCCCCTTTTGGGACCGGATTGTAAACTTCTTCCGCCACAATAACTGAGAAAATGAAAACTTTCCTGCCACCCTTTATATGCTTTTTCTACTTCCGGCATTCTTTTTTCCTTTCTAAGGGTGTCGAAAACTTAAAAAACCTTAATTTTAATTCGAAAATACTTATTTTCATGTTCTATGGCGTCTTCTTCTCAGGCCCTTACGCACCTAATCTTTACCTCTAAAACCCCGTCCTTTTTGGTTATCCTCCTATTGCGGTTATGCACCCCCCCACCTATTTTTTTAAAGTTAGATTTTTCATGTAAAAATGAATTCCAGTACGATCCTCCGAACGGAAGGGCCAAAGGCGCTTTTCAAGGGGGCCGGATGTCGTATGCTGGTAAGTTGGTCGATCTGCCTCCTCTCTCTCCTCTCTCCCTCGCTCTCTTTCTCTGTCTCTATCTACCCTCTCGCTGCCCCTAACTCGATTTTTCAGGTAATGGCCCCACTCTTCGGTATCGCCCAAACCGTCTACTACATCGGAGTCGCGGAGAAGCTGCTTGGACGCGAAAAGGCAGCTCATGTCTAGAAAATTGGAGAATTGAAACATCGAATAGGATATATTTAATTTGACTTAATGACTAAGCAATCCCCCGCCGTGCCTTGTATCGAAGCCATTGCTACATCTCTGTATGCACCAAATTTTCGAAACGTCTTGCCCAATTTGACAATTTTTATGTTACCCTGTTTTTCCATCCTCCAAAGACCCACCCCTGTGAATACATAGCGAATTCTTATAGCCGTGAGATTTCCGCAACATAAAAATTTATCAATTCGGCTTTCGACATTTTTTGAAATTACGTTAATTGATGCAAAAATCTGGATATCGTATTTGTTTTTGATTTAATGCTACAAGTAACTGGCTTCGTTCTTTCAGATACCTCTCAAATCACTCAAAAAAAACTCCCAAAAAAGAGGCCTGGAAAAAATCATAATTTTGCCAAAAAATTGTGATGCGTTTTGCAGCTTTCTAAATTCAAAAAAAAACGCTTGTATTTTTAAAAAATGGATTTTGGAAAATCTTTATCCAGAAAACACACAAGGCCAATGGTCGGAGTCAGTTGAGCAAAGAACAGGAGGAGAAGGAGGGAGAAAAACACAGGTGCGCACTATCCCGCAACAATTGGTACCATATTCGCAAAAAAAACAGATCTAGAAAAGATCTAAAAACAAATAAAAACAAATAGAATTCGAGATAAAGGGTGGAATGGCAGAGCGAAAAAAAGGAGAGAAAAACACAAAAACAACAAATACGAGAAAATTGTCGCCGTTTTGTTCAGAAAGATTGGGAGATCACATCACAGTTATTGCCTGGACCAAACGAAAAATAGGGGAAAGGGGAAAATACGGTAGGAGGGGCGCAAATAGGGAAATCAGTGGGGACAAGTCGATCAGAAAATGCTAAAAAAATGCTCGAAATACTGTATGCGATGAGCTGGGGGGATTTTAGGTCGGCAGGGCACGGTATATTAAGCGAATCGTTTGGGGGCTGACTAGGGTGGACTCGGGCAGGGGTTGGGGTACGGTAGAAAGGGCAGATTTTAGCCTTTGATTTTGCAAAGATTTTTCAGTAATTTTCAGAGTTTACACTTTGTAAATATTATAAATTTTGGTGGCCTGTAATCCACAAGAAAATATACGAAAGCTAAAAATCTATAATTTCCGCAATTTTCAAATTTCGTCGAAATAAATTAAAGTTAATTTAATTTAATTAATCATAAAAATTGTAATTTGTTAGGTTTTTAAAAGTCTGAAACACCAGGCGAGACTTTACCAATTTTTTCGTAATTTCCGGAATTTATGAAATATTCGGACATTTCAAAATTTCTGAACGTCTAAAATCTGCCCGAGCTACAGTACCCCAACAAATATGCAAATTAGGCGCATTCAAAGGCATTGAGCATCTACTAGACGACCGGCAGCAAGGGGTCGAGCGCTTTCGTGGGGGCTTGGATGATGACGTTCGCCTCGTCGGCCCGTTCCTCGACTACCGTATTCCGTTTCGTGTCGAGACCTAGAAAAGATGGGAATATTCGTGTTTAGTTTCTAGTACGTACCCGTACTAAACACAGCCCCAGGTATCAACGACAGCAAGGAGGGCAGGATGAGGAAGCCGTGCAGCAGGCCGAGGACGACCACGATGGCGATTGTCGTCACGAAGACCTGGAAAATTAATCTAGGGTGTAGGTTTTAAAGGGACGGGCAAGTCATTGGCTTGGAACAGATTACTCAACGGAAACTGGCTCGTGTCGGTTTCTGCGCCGGCGGCAGTTTAAGGGTAGCGTGTCATCCGATTTTTTGTTCGCTTTTCAGCTGGTCATTTACCTGCGGCGTGTAGTCTGGATGTATCGACACGGGCAAAAAGCAGATCATCGTCGACGCGGCCGCCTGGATCATCGGCATACCGACGGCGTTAATCGCAGAATGAACGTACTCGGAGGGGTCGGAATTTCTGAAAAGTTGGATTTTTCAGATCAAACAGCTTCAAGATTACGAATTTCTAACCATCTTGGACTTGTCGAAATCGCGGTCTACAAATGACTTACGGTGGTAACGTCCCGTGCGCCTTGTGGAAGTGGTAGCAGATATGGGCCGTGTAGTCAACCGAAAAACCAATCGACATCACGATGGCCACCATGGTGATGGGGTCTAGGTCGAAGCCGAGCCACGAGAGCGAGCCGAACACCCCTGAAAAAGATAATAGTTGTTTAGCCACGCTTAGATACGAAAATCCCTTCACATTCTTAGAGCTGCCCGAAGATTTCGCTACCCACCAAAACTAATACTGCAGATGGCAAACGCCGCCGCGCAGACGCCGATCAACGACGGGACGAAGAGCATGCAGACGAGCACCATGCTGCCCAGGGTGAAGGCGGCCGTTTGGTAGGTCGTTGGACCCATGTCTAAAAGTCTTTCGTAAAAGCTCGTCTACAGTAACCCACTGAAGATGCCATCGTAGACAGCTGAGTTCTCCGAATAGACGGTGACGTTGAACTGCTTCCATTTGTCGGCCACGGCGCGCCAGCTGGAAGTGAAGTTTTTAAGGTCTCCCTCATTCTCTTCTCTCTCTCTCTCTCTCTCTCTCTCTCTCTCTCTCTGTCTCTCTCTTGCTGTTGATCTCCAACGTACTTGTTCATGTTTTCCGCACGCTCGTTCCACGAATTCGCGTTGTGGAAGCCGATGTAGAAGACGAACGAGTCGACCACGGCGTTTCTAAAGTAGATTTTATTAATTTAAACTTTCACGAGCACGAACCCATCTTCCCGGTGCCATTTCACCGACGTATTCCACGCGCTGCCGACGTTGTTCAAGAAGTAGGGCACATCGCTGTTGTCCAGCCGCGTGTTCATCCCGAACGCCGCGTAGAAAGACCAGATCTTGTTCATCGCCTGGAAGCAGGCTAGAGGTGAGGTCCCCGAGAATTAGATACGTAGAACTACGCTCGTACGTACCAGCTCGTAGTCGTTGAGCCACAACATGGTCGCGTTGGCGCCCAGGCAACGGGGCAAGGCCTCGAACTCGTGGACCATCGACTTGAACGACTCGTACTGGGCCTCGTCGCCAATGTCGGGCGGAGCGTTGATGTAGACGTAGGCGGCTTCGAATTCCTGAAAAAAATGAATGAAATTGGCTTTTCAAGGGACTGGGACGGCTCAGAATCGACCCTTTATCACTAGGTCTAGACAGTGATGTCACGCGAAAAATGCGGCTTGGAATGGCATTTTGCTTCGTTTTTTCCATATTCCTGCCTCGTTCTCCCTCTTTCACTCTCTCCCTCTCTCCCTCACCTTCCACACATGCTCCCTCAGCAAACTGTCCGAAATCTGGAGTGGCGAATCCGATGGGATGATCCGCGTCGAGTTGATCTGCACTTGGATTGTGAACGCGCCGTAAACACTGAAATAGACCTGAGAAACACTGAGATAAATATAGATACCTGAACGCAAAGAACATGGCCGTCGCGCCCATCACAACGAGCTGAACAAGTGGCCGGGTGATGAACTTTGAATAGTCGAACATCAGCTTGGAGATGAATTTGGAGGGGGTGGTGGAGGACATGGTGCCGGCCTGGAATCGGAGAATAGTACTCGCTCTCTCTCTCTCGCTCTCTCTCTCTATCTCTCACCTTGTAAAAACGTCCCGAAACCGCCAACAAACTGCAGAAGCAAATGATCTCAAAGACAAAGTCGACCAGCATGGCGATGGCAGCAACGATGGAGAAGACCTAAAATTCACGTTTGCTACCGTAACCTAAGACTAAGCCGGACCATCTCCTAAGCTGAATTATTTTTACCTGTATCGCCGGCGGAGCAAAATACGACCCAACAGCAAAAGCCAAAAAGTTAGTGAACGAAGTCAGTAGCATCGAGGGGCCGACCTCGACGAGTACCTGGAAATGAGCGCATACTGTAGATTCACAAAATTAGTATACCTTTGACAGTAATACAGAAATGGCCTCTGTGCGCGTCTCGTACTTGACCTTGTCGATCTCTTCGAGGGCTTGACTCCAGCAGTGCAGGACGAGGAAGGCGTCGTCGACTCCTAGAGGAACGGGCTTGAAAGCGAGAGCGAGAGAGAGAGAGAGAAGAAAGATATAGAGGAGAGAGAGAGAGAGAGAGAGAGAGGGAGAGAGGAAGAGAGAGAGGGCGAGTCATTCAAAAAACCGGTGCTTCCAGGTTATCGGGGGTCGGTTATTTTAGCGGGGGTCGGTCGCGAACTTTTTTCTATAATACCAGCGCTGACCCCCCGCTACGCGGGGGTTCAGCGCCGCCTTCCCCCACAAAAATTTGGAATTTGCAATTTGAATGCAGAATTTGGCTGAATTCCTGGACGGGCGGACGTACGGACATTAGAAATTTATATATAGTAGATCGTGCGGCTCGGCTATAGCTGGCCGTTTTTATAGACTCGTGCGCCGTTTGAAATGGTTCTGGACTGTTAGCGGGGGAGGAGACATTAAGAAAAACGCCATAAAACCTGTAGAAAAATTTTTTCTTTTTCGGTCTAACGTATATGAAAATGGCTAAAACCGCGCTATAACCCTAAATTTCGTGACTATAGGCTAAAAATTTTTATAATTTTTGATTACCGGAAGCTACTAAAAACAGTATTAAAATAAACTACAATTTATCACTAGCCAGGTATAGGCTAAACAAAAAGAAGATGCCAACCGACCCCCGCTAAAATAACCGACCCCCGATAACCTGGAAGCACCCAAAAACCTACCAATAGCAATGACGAGCGTCGGAAGCACGATGAGAATCGGGTAGATCTCAATCAGCATCCACCCGACAAGGCCGAAAGTGAACAAGACGGCGCCGATGGGGGCAAGGATGACGCCTACAAAATTTTAATTTTGAGCCATAAAGGGAGTGCGGCAGCTAATCCTGACGCGCTCGAAGTCTACCAACCTATGACAATGACGAAAACCGGGAACAGATCTCCAAGCCCGGCGTTCAGCGCCTTGTGGATGATTATGACGGTCAGGGTAAGCGTCATGGCGAACCCGATGAGCATGTGCGGGATGAGGGTCATCCCGCCGCGCTGCATCTCCTGACCAAGGACCTGAAACGCAGAATCTTCATCGAATTTATTCAAAAAAAACCGACCTTATCACCCATGACGTTGACAGTAAAATCTGGGAAATTCGTCTGTCCGTCCGACCATCGCATCATGCTCGTTTCCCACTCGGTGGCCATTTGGAGAGCTGCGGTGGATTCGAGAGGTGCCTAAAACATATATATTTGAGTTTGAACTGCTTGAACTGCTTGAACAGATTGTGGCGCCCGAGACATTTGGGCGAGAAGCTGCTCGGTTACTTGAGTTCTAGAACCATTTCGCAGCCTCGCGTTACTAGGCATGAGACGGCTTGAACGGCATGAAGTTGTTGGCGTCCCGGTCCTTTAAAGGTTAAGCCGCTTACTTCAAAGTACAGGTTGATCATCTCCACCCGTGACAGCAGCGTTTTGTTGGATCGTAATAAGGGCGAGTTGTAGGGGATTAGCTCCTAAATATGTTTAAAAGTACATTGATGTCGATTCACCTCTTCTTCTCCCTTCTTGTGGACCCCGTAGAGGTGGTGGGCAACGAGAAAGCCGACCTCGCCGTGCCAGCTCTTCGGGTGGTCAATGATCACGTTTTCAGGGGTATCAACCTTGTCGACGAGGGACTGAAAAGTAAGATGAATCCGGTTTTGCAATGCAAAAAAATAATCCAAAAGGATTTCTGCTAGCTTGCCCCGCAAAATTTAACCGCCAAAAAAACCCACCTTGAAATGGTGCAGCAACCCGTTCGATCCGCATCGATTCCCGCATAAATCCGTGTGTACAAAACTGCGCCCGTTGTGGTACACCGTAAAGTTTGACGCCAGCCATCTTTCCAACTACAAATTCAAAGGTTCATCGTCAAAAATGTAGCCTAAATACCCGTAACACCTCGCCGAGGTCTTCGCGGCTGAGGAGACTTCCGCCGTCGGATCTTCGGATGGAGACGAGGAACTGCTGGGCGTGGTCGCTGGTGTGCCCGTGGAAGTCGTCGCGTATCCGCTGCTCGTCGATGGAGCGGGCCCGTGTTGAGATGAAACCGTACTGAAAAACGTGGTAAATTGCAGTTTGTAGTAGTTTATATACTTCTTTGCACGTTTTGCTAAACGGTAAGTTTAAATGGATACAGACACCATATTTTTTCCGGTTTTTGGCGCGCTTACTGAATGTCTTGGGGAGCTGCAGCATTTTAAGGGGACGGGAGAATTTGGGCAGTTCTTTAATTGGTATCCAAAGGTCATGAAAAACTCGGACACTTTAAAGGGACAGCGACACACACTTTACGATAATATGCAACGGCTGAACGTGTTGGAAAGCTCCGACGGCCAACGCAACGCTGATAGCTAGCGAGATTCCAATTTTGGACGCGAACTCCAAATATCCCAAAAAGCTCCTCACCTGTAACTTCTTGGCGAAGGCCAGCCGAAAGATGCCGGCGGAGAATGAGACGAGGAGGAGGAAAAGCAGGAAGAAGAGCACCGGTTGAGATCCGACAGAGTACCCGATTTTCGAGAAGAACGAGTGGAGGCAGTGGTTGAAGGCTTGAAGCGTAAAGTGATCAGCATCTCTAGGGTAATTTACATACCTCGAGTAACATTTCGCAGTGGCGACAGGAACGACGGGGTCCGCTTGGGCACGGCAGACCCCAAGAACATCACAAAGCCGTAGGCCTGAACAAACGTCGGGTCAAAAATGATGTGATTTCTGGGGAAAACGATGGTGAGAAAGCAAGAAATGCAAACTTCACATGCAAATTCGAGATGCAAATTATGCAGACAAATCCTTGGAAGATATCGGTCGAATTGCAGCCAAGGCAGGTGACGGAGAGCAAGAGAGAGGGTTGTGGAGAGGGACAGATAGCAAGAGAGAAAGCGTGAGAGAAAGAAAGAGAGAGAGAGAGAGAGAGAGAGAGAGGGGGAGGGAGAGAGAGAGAGAAAGACAGAGTGGGATAGATATAGGGTTTGAGAGACATAACTTGGGAAGCTAGTTATTTTTAGGCAGATAGCTAAAGAATACAAACCTGTAAAAATTGTAAATAGCGATGAATGGACGGAGCTATAAAAAGCCTCATCTTGGCGACAATGACTCGGAATCGCGATGACTGCTACTGACTCTTCGCCCAAGTTTTGACTCCCCAACTACGCAATAAAACAAAAAACGCCTGACCAAAGCTGTATCGAATGGCGAAGCGTATGTAGCAAAGCATCACCAAACATAACAAAACCAAGAAAAAACGGCAGAGTTCTCCGAAAACAATTGAGAAGTAGACTAGGGCTTCTGGTGGACGGAATTATTAGATTTGTTTTCTGGAGTGAGGGTGGCCTGGGTAAGGTTTCTTTCTTGAATTGATTTATGGCTTCGAAAATGCGGGAATTGGTTTGGAAAAGTGCAATTTGCAATTTTTGGGAAATGTGGAAATTGTCTGGGTTTGGAATTATAGGGGACTCTAGAGGGAAACTGAGAGATAGCGAACGCGAGAGAATGAGTGAGAGACAGAGCTCAATCGAGTCAGAATGAAAAATTGTACATTGCATAAATCAGAAAGACGCGCCCTAATAGGCTGCTCACTGCTTTTGTCATAGGATTTTGGCTTCTTCAGGCTTCAAAAATTGTTTTGGAAGTGTTGGAAGAATATTTTGCACGATTACAATATTTTGAAGCAGTGTGCATTCCCTAGAAAATTACAAAAAAAAAGGTTCGAAATAACGAAATTCCCTACAAAACATCAGATCCGGGGTGAAAATAAAAGTTCCGGTTCGTTTCCGGACAATTGACGAGCTCATCAACCCCCGATTTTAATAGCCGATCCGAGGCCCCGCGACGGGGATCAATGACTATCGAAACGATGTCCCCCTTGGGGCCCAGAGGCCCGGACGGCGATAGAAAGGGAGAGAGAGAGAGTGAGAGAGGGTGATAGAGAGAGAGGGAGAAGTCATAGCGGGTCGGAAAAGCCCTAGACAAAGAGGGCGGAGAGATGAAGAGCGAAATGGCCGGCAGCTGACCCGCAGACACACTCGACGACGGCACGTCCGGCCACTCACACGCAGACACTTTATGTGACACCGTTCAAGGAGGAGTCATCCGGAAACTTGCCGATTTTTTGCTGGTCATTGTACGATTTTTTTGGGTATTTTAGGATTCACAAATTGCAATTTTGTACTAAAACTATGATTTTTACATGCACACGGATCCGTAGCCCTTTCTTTAGCATTTGAATAGAATTTCAGACGCTGTTAGAATTTTTTTCATTTTTGGTTAGGTTTACGAAGGTTTTTGCAAGTAATTTCTTGCAAAATGTTCAAGAAAATTAGTTGAGCTATTTCGTCGACCGCGACACGCACCGCGCAGTTTCCTTGCATAAAGGAGTACGGCTCTTTTCGCGGCATGACAATAAGTGGCGCGCGTCTCGTGCCGCGACAAACGGCGTGCGTTGCGTGTCGCGGCAAAACTGGGCGCGTTGCGTATTGCCGGAAAAATTTTTTGCGTTGCCTGTCGCGCCGACGTATAAAATTCTTAATTAAAAATATCATTTGTCGTCCTCTGTTTTGTTATCAAAAAAATTTAAGTTGATTGTTTCACCAAAAAATAAACATAGCCTAACACACAGAAAGTGGACAACCCAAGAAAGTGCCCGGAAAAAGAGAAAGCCAGAATCCCCAATAAGTGTACATGGCGAAAGCCGAAAAACCAGATCACGGGTCTATTCAACGAGAGGCGGGGCTGAAAAAGCTGGCAATTCGCCTTCGCCCCCGCTACTGGTAGAAAGTCCCCTCCCCTACTACCTGCCCTCACGTGCTCGCAAAAAATAATCCCTACAAAGAGTCTATTCAAAAACCGGAATGGGCAGATCGGGAGGGATCAGCTGGTTTGGACAGATGGCCCAGCATTTGGGAATTGCGAAAATAGGTGAAGCAGGGGTACGGTACGAACGGAACCGTGAAAATGAGAGTCAGAGAGAGAGAGAGAGAGAGAGTGAGAGAGAGAGAGAGAGGAGAGATATGCAGGCAGAGAACGGGAGAGTGAGCGATAGCGAGAGCCCGAGTAAGTGAGAGGCCTAAAAAGGCATTGGCTACAAAGTCTTGAAATATAAATATTTTAAATCTGCGATGCAACTGAATAATTCTGAACCAATCTCCATTCGCAGGTACCTTTAGAATGCTTTACATGACACGTTTAGGGCGTTATTTGCATCGTTTAGTCGTAGATCAAGCCGTTGTTGACTTTTTGGCGAGTCCAAATTTATCTGCGTCCTCAAAAAATAATCCGGTTATACGGAACTAGCTGGGTGTAAGGATTATTTTTGTCGTAAACTATGCCTTGTGTTTAGAGTAAGCGTAACACAACGAGTAGATTTTTAAGGGGGAAATGACCTAACAATAAGAAAAGCCGGAACCAGAAAAACCGCATCACGACCGCAATGGAAACTTTTGATATTTTTCGATAAGATCGGAAAACGTAAAACTGCAAATTTGATGACTTTTGATACAAAACTCTGTCCGCTAAACAGTAAAAACCATAAAACTGAAAACGCCAAAAAGGAGGGGTCAAAACTGTAATAAAGCGAGTGCCGCTTTCTAGCTATCAGCTGTCAATTTCGATATCTCGCGGGTTTTTCGGCCCGCGGTGGGAGGCGGGGGAACGGCCCGCCCGGCTTGTTAGCTGTCAATCTTGGGCGATAGATAGTTTCCGAATGGCCAGGCGAGGTTTTTGAAAAAATTGGCAGAAAGGCGAGAGATAAAGAGAGAAATGGGGGTTCAATTTTGTAAAGGCTATCCAAGCCAAATTGAAAGCCCTGCGATTTTCATTTAAAGCCCATTATTTGGTCCATCGAAAAAATTCCAAGGAAAAATTGTGTTTGCGGAAAAATTGATGAAAGTCAAAGCTTAAACGCCCCGGAAAATTGAAATTCAAAGAGACGTAAAGAGGCGAAACGGAAATTTTCAAAGCTCAGAAACTAGAATGTTTCAGAACAGTTCAACCGCCGTTTTTTTTTGTATTTCTCTGCTTAATGGAGCAAATTCGTAATTCGAATTCGAAAAAGCTTTGAAAAAATTTAAGGCTTTCTTTAAGATGCCTTTCGACAAGCATCTTAAGTTTCTAGATACGCTTAAATTTATTGTTTGAAATTTTTGCAAACGAAAAAGTTTATGTGATTTTTTGCTGGTATTGAGCCTAAAAATGCATAATTCCTTGATCCGAATTATTCGAACAAGCTACCCCCATACAAAAATCTAGCTGGTTTTAAAGCAATGAAACGCCATTAAATGAACATAAAAAAAACCAGAAAGGTGACAGGTCAGGACCGAAAAACAGCCTCCAAAAATCGTCGCCACTTTTTCACTTCCGGGCCCCTTTAATTTTTCCCCTAGGTTCGCTGTGTCCATCGAGACATTGACCGCCTCTGTACATGCCAATCAAGAGGAAACCGTCCACGACAAATCATAAGGCTTCCCACCCGGGCAAAGTTTCCATTCCACCGAAGAAAAAATATTTGATTGACAGCTCGAGCCTGTAGTTGGGCGGCAAAATCGCGAAGGTGATTCGGGGCTGATTGTCAGGCCATATCGGGTGGGATTCCGGAGGATTCCACGCTTTTTTAAGCCGAAAAATTGAGCGATCGCTGCTGACCGGACCCCTGGTGTTGCGAAAAATTGAAAATAGTAAACTGGGGGAAGGGGCCGGACCCAAGGGGATTTTTGCGGAAAGGTGTTTTTTGGGCTGCAGCTGTTGGGATTAGAGAAGCGCGTAGAAGTAGAATAAAAAGCAGAGAGCGAGAGAGAAAGAGAGTGAGAGAGAGTGAGAGAGAGAAAGAGATAAAGAGAGAGAGAGGGCGAGAGAAACAGAAGGAAAGCATAAGAAGGTCCGTAAGTAAAAGAAAGCGTAGATAAACCTAGAGAGAGGGACATAGGGAGAGGGAGGTAGAGAGAGCGAGAGAGAGAGAGGGAGAGAGAGAGAAGGCGAAATATGATAAAAAAACACTTCAAAGCTCCGTAAAGTTACTAAATTACGCCCGAAAAGCTGCACTACTAGAGTTCAATGTCGAAATAAGGTTTGGCCCTCTCCCATCCCCGCGTCTGGTCTCGGTTTCCAGGCACTTTGTTTACGTGTGTCGCTAGATGGATCTAGGGATGCACACAGCCACCCAAGCCTTGGCTTTGGCCCTGGGCCAATAGCCTTTTTGATGCCTTATGGCTTTCAATGGCGCCGAAATTCGAGACATCGGAAATCTGTTGCATCCGTTTCATTCAGAGACATGTCGTATTTTTCCGCATGCTAAATCGGCTTAAAGAGGGTGGGAGTCTTATTGATGAAGCTTGGTAGTTGATAAATCAAGCTTATACCAGCAGCGCCAAAATCGAGATACGACCTTGCCTCCACGGAGTTTGGCAATGGTACCAAGCGTATTTTGTAAAGATTGTTTCACTGATCAGAACGTAGCTTTTAGAATCTGAGAAGCGACCTTATTTCACAAACCACGACGCATTAAAGTGTCAAAAACGCTGAAAATAGCCCAAATGGCCGCTTTAGAGCTTCATAACTTTTTTATTGTGGTCGTTAAGCTGATTGCACAAACTAGGTTTTGATCAGCGAAAAATTCTAAATAGACTAGGCTTGGTGCGCCTGTGAAACACCGTGGAGGCTGAAAAAGGTTCCG